ACATCAATGGAAAGCTTATTTATTCAGCTTTCAGATGATGTATAAATCTCAATTTCAGAAAATTGACCCTTATGACTTTTTTTGTGGTCCAGGATCACATATTGTACCTCTTGAGCTGTGATTTCTCTACACTGTGCTGTTGAATGTTATTTTACAAAAATACTATTCATTTTCTCTGTAAAATGTTTTAAAGTTGGCATGAAATAGAAATTGCAGTTGTCTTTTCTTCCCTGTTGTGGCACATATCCGGGTGAAATGGCTTCTCTGAGAAAGTAATGTAGGGTGGGACTTGACTTTGATCATTGTTGTTTGCTATTGCTGCAATCGCATGTGAGTGAGAGTTTGCTGAAAGGGAGACTTTATTGTCCTGTCCTCGTGCCAGTGAACTCATCATCTGAGAAGAGATGAGATGTCGTTGCAAGTGGGAAAGGAAGTTTTTTTGATTAAAGATTATGAGGCACTTGAATTTAAAATAAATAAATACAAATAAATAAATAATGCACATGGATAAATCATTTATAATAAACACTGCAATATTCCAGAATTGTCCATTTTCATTTCATGATGACTTTAAGTCAAAATTAATAAGAACAATACATTTTTATAAAGATATCATTTATTGTGTGTAAAGTTAATTATATATATAGTTTTCTTGTTCTTCTCAATTGTTCCACCAGCATGAAAACATCCCTTTTGTAGATGGTGATTCCACTGTCGTAAGTATTTTTAATTAGTTGTGTCCTGTACAGCAGAGTGTTTCGTTTTATTTGAGCTATTTGAGATTAATTGTTATATAACAACTCAGAATATATTTACCTTTTAGGACTTCCTGTGGTATGCTGAAGTGAACAATTCCTTGAAGGAGCAGTTGATGTTATGGACAGAGGTAATGACAATCAAATTGCACTGGATAGAAAGCAGGCAAGTTATTAAATCACAGGCTTAAGAATTTGGTCTCATCTCTCATCTCATGATTTTAGGGATCTGCTTCCAAACCACATGCCATCATCATCGGTGCTGCTACGGTGAGTTCCTGTTTGCAGTGATAATGCATTCAGGTGCTGTTTTTGAAAATCCTTCTAATGACAGATGCTTGTGGTTTCCAACAGTGGTCCATTAAGTTGCACAACGGCAAGAGTGCGGCACTCTTTCAGTACAAAGCGAACCTCACGGCTATGTCAGACACACTGGAAAAACTAGCAGAGCACAGTGAAGTCTATTGGGTTCTGCAAGGTTAGTTTTGAAATTCAGATCCTCTGGAATGATGGCTTCACATTTTTGTCTCATGTTTTTGCCTTGTCTGTTTATATAGATCCTGTTTATGAAGATGTGCTAAGTGACAGTCGAAAGATGATCACAAATGAGCAGATAAATCTGTACAACGAGGCAGCTGTTAGCACTCTGAATACCAGCAAAAAGAAGGTCAAGTTCTTAGAGGCCTCTCGACAAGCTGCTATGGAGACCATTTCCCAGTCGGTGGATGGCTTGCACCTTCCTGAGAGCACAAGAGATGTTGTAAGCCTCTGGTTGAGACTAGTTTTGCAATTAATAACTATTTTATTCTTTTTACTTTTTTGACTAATATTTACCCACTTCTCAGGGCGCCATGGTTCTGATGAACTCCATGTGCAACAAGATCCTGAAGCCCGTTGACGGCTCTTGCTGTCAGAGCGCTCCTCCCCTAAGCGTCCTTCAGAAGTTAGCGGCTGGTCTCTTTCTGCTGTCCATCATCATCTTCCTCATCCTGGGCTATAGTAGACATCGTAAGAGCAGACACGTTCCTGATGTGGAGAGCGGAGAGGAGAAGAAACCCCCCGTTGTTGTGGGTCAACTGAACCCAAAGGGACCTTTACTGGCCATCTGCAAAATGAGCCTTATCATGTTGTACTTCTACCTGTGTGACAGGGCAGACATTTTTATGAAGGAACAGAAATTCTATACACATTCTACCTTTTTCATCCCTCTCATCTACATCATCGTTCTGGGCATCTTCTACAGTGAGAACAGCAAAGAGGTAGCGCAGGCTCTTGGGAAATGCTGTTTAAATGTTCATATTGATATTCTTCTACAATTTTTATTTCTCTTTCCAGACGAAACTCCTGAACAGAGAGCAAACGGATGAATGGAAGGGCTGGATGCAGCTGGTTATCCTTATTTACCACTTTTCTGGAGCTAGCACTGTATGGTTATTAATAGCTTGGATTTAATAGCATTGGAATACTTTGCTTTACTCTGGTATTACAAGTGACTGCACTCTCGTTTGTTTTCTCAGTTTATACCTGTGTACATGCATGTCCGTGTCCTGGTAGCTGCGTATCTCTTCCAAACAGGATATGGACACTTCTCGTTCTTCTGGCTGAAGGGAGACTTTGGACTTTACAGAGTGTGTCAGGTACTTGTTGCCAGACTCTGCTTATCTTGTGTCCCCGTATTCATGTAGCAGTGACTGACATATGGTCTTCTTCTAAAACAATTAGGCAAAGTCCTCTGTAAAAAATTATTATTTTTTGACCAATGTAAACGTGTTTCCATTTCATTTGACTTTTTCAAGAATTTTATACTTAATAATTTCAAAAGAAATTACTACTTTTATTCAGCATATGTGCATAAATAAAATAACTAAATGCTGTTAAATAAATAGCATAAATGAATGCTGGTTTTTAACTTTGTTCATCAAAGAACCTTGAAAAAAAGTATCATGGTTTCCACAAAAATATTAGGCAACACAGCTGTTTTCAGCATTAATGATAAAAATAAATGTTTCTTGGGTAGCAAATCAGCATGTTAAAATGATTTCTGAAGGATCACAGGAATAAATTACATTTTAAAATACATTAATATAGAAAACGGTTGTTTTAAATAAGTAAATAATACATTTGATATTATTTCACAATATTACTCTTTATTTGATTTATTTAATAAATAATGTAGCTTTGCTAAGCATAAGAGACTTCTTACAAAATATTTTAAAAATTCTATAGACCCCAATCTTCTGAACGATAGAGTATATTAATATTATTTTATTAAAGCCAAAATTACAATATGACATGATTTATTGATATTATACAGTATTATGAATAATATTAGTTATGATTAAATATTAAGTTTGTTTTAACATTTTTACATTTATTCAAAAATACTATACTATAAAAAAAATACTATATTATGTAACTATAATAATACAGTAACTTATAAGACTTATTTTTTTTATTAACTGTGAACTGTCATTTATTGTTTTTAATTTTCACCTTCCATATGGATTATTTCTAGGTCATAGTTCAATGTGGAAAATTGTTGTTACAAAGTAGATATGACCAAATTGCTTATCAATGTAAATATTAATAATGGCAACATTTAGAGGGAAATGCTTTATAAAAAATAATGCATAACTGCACAGCATGATATAAATAATGCATCCTCTCTGTCTGTCTTTTAGGTTGTCTTCAGGCTTAACTTCCTTGTGGTGGTGCTGTGTCTGGTTATGGACAGGCCTTATCAGTTTTATTACTTTGTGCCTCTTGTCACCTTTTGGTTTGCAGTTATTTATGCTACAATGGCATTGTGGCCACAGATTCTTCAGAAGCAAGCCAATGGTAATTGAAGTTATACAACAGTATTTGCTGTTATTTATTTAATAGACATCAAACAATCCTAAAATAATTTTTAAACATATAAAATAAATCAAGCCTTGAAACATAGTTGTCTCTTTTAATTATGTAAAGGTAGTGCATTCTGGAATCTGGCACTATTGTTGAAACTTCTGGGTTTGCTTCTTTTCATCTGCTTCTTTGCATACTCACAGGTAAGTTTCTCTCTTACAATAGGACTGTTAAGACTCGTTTTGATATAAATATGTGTATTTAAATCTTTCGCATTTGTTGCAGGAACTATTTGAGGCTGTTTTTTCTTTGTGGCCCGTTTCAAAGATCTTTGAGCTGCAAGGTAGCATCCATGAGTGGTGGTTCAGGTGGAAACTAGATCGATTTGTATGTAAAACATCCTTTCTTTTGAATTAATAAGAACTGTAAAACATTTGTCAGTTTCACATCTTGAAGTAGGCCTAACAGATTTCTGCTCTTCTGAATGCTAGGCCGTGATCAATGGGATGCTCTTTGCCTTCATATACCTGATGCTGCAGAAATGTCAGCTGCTGTCTGAAGGCAAAGGAGAGCCTCTCTTCTCCAACAAGATTTCCAGCTGTCTGCTCTTCGTCTCTGTGGTGTCTTTTATGGTAAGCCTTTTTCTATTTCTCTCTGAAAATAGTAATCTGACTTCTTTACAATTGATTCTTTTGTTCCCAGACGTACTCCATTTGGGCCAGTGGGTGCAAAAACAAGTCTGAGTGTAATGAGATGCATCCATACATTTCAGTCGTCCAGGCAAGTACCAATTCTTCTATGTGCTCTTTATAATAATGTTCTCTTGCACACTTGAAACTATGGATGATTTAACCAAAACACGAAAAAAGTAAAAAAAAAAAATGTAAAAAATTATTTTGACTATTCATAACCACACTAACCTTTATCACAGTTGATTCAGACAGTCAGATGGCTTTTGTGGGAACAGAAAGAACATTTGTAACCTAAAATAATGGATTTTTTGTTTCGTTCTGTTGTGCCTATGAGGCTGCTGACTTTTCATCACTGTGCTTTTTCTGCCCACAGATTCTGGCTTTCATTTTGATCCGGAATATTCCTGGTTATGCTCGCTCTTTGTACAGCTCGTTCTTTGCATGGTTTGGAAAGATCTCCTTAGAGGTGAGACAGTACAAGCTTTACTGCAAACAAACAAATTTGGGATATTTTTAGTGTACTGTCAATTAGGATTGACATTTACAACTCATCCCTCTTTGATTAAGATTAGGGGTATGATTCTCGCTTCGGTGTGAGAGGTCCCGGGTTCATATCCCGGACGAGCCCCCAATTTCACGTTATGCCCCTTCTAGGGTAAAGGGATAGCATGAAAGAGAGTAAGAGGTGGTAGAGTTCTTTTTGAAAAGCGAATGAGCAATGTTTTAATGAGCATAATAGTTTTACAATACAACTGAGGGAATTTAGCTTGCCCTAGATAATAAAATAAAATAAAATAAAATATACAATTATTTCCCTACCTCCCATCCAAAAACAATCAATCAGAGGTTCCAATAAAAAATGTTGTCGGTCTCCCTACCTCCCCAAAATATTATGTACAATTATTTACAATGTAGCACCAACTGGTCCGAGCAGGGGCAATCCACAATCAGTCAATAAATGTGCGGTAGTTAGTATTACAAAGTTGGCTAAGCAAACTAACAAACAAACAGTCTTGCACAGGCAAACACTCAAATTAACACACAAAGATACTCTCAGTTTTAGAAGTGACGAAGGAGGCTTTTATAGGCAGCTAAGAGTCAGCTGACTGGGCAGGACATGGCACCAATTAGACTGCATGAACCAATCGGGCTTCTTCCTGGACAGAGACACACAAACACCACCCAAAACAAAATAAAACACAGACATAGAACAAAAGGGACTCAACACTACAGTAATATACCTAGTCCACTGCAAATACATGTTTAAAAATGCTGGAAATAAACTATTCCACTGTTTTGAAACCATTCTAACATGCTTCCTGTTTTCTCCACCAGCTCTTCATATGCCAGTATCATATTTGGCTGGCAGCGGACACCAAGGGCATCCTGGTCCTCATTCCTGGAAACCCCACTTTAAACATTATCGTCAGCACATTCATCTTTGTCTGTGTAGCTCATGAGATTTCCCAGATCACCAATGACTTGGCCCAGGTGGCCATTCCTAAAGAGAGCAGGCCTCTACTGAAGAGACTGCTGGGAGCAGGAGTCTTTCTAGTGCTGGTACTGATACTGTCCCAAAATGAATAATCCAGGGCAATCAGAGACAGTAGCACACCTTATCCGCTGAGGATCCTAATGGAGCTGTCTGTATAAAATAAAGGAACTTGACCAGCCTAGAACATTTTTTCCTAGGAGTTGATCCAGGGAATTCTTACGGCATGGGTCTGTATACAAAACTCAAGTTGGAACTGAAGCCAAGGACCTTGGAGCAGAAGCGATTCAGATGATCAAACAAGGATTCTTAAAGCTGGATGTTTGCAGTAGACAAATAACACATACTGTGTGCAGATAACAAGTACACCTGTGCTCTGTCCTCTCTCATAGCTCTGAGATGTGTTTTATATTTAATAATTTATGTTTATATTTTATAGAGGGGTATGTGTTTGCGTGTCCTCATTGTCTCCCATTTCTCAGTTTTTGTACACGATGCCCATGACTGCAAAATGTGAAGGAGTAATACATTCCTGCCTCTCACCTTGTAAATCTGACAGAACTACATCGGCTTGTGCACCAAATGTTTCCATAAAAACCATAATTTACATTCATATCACACCAGCAGCTTTATCCTTTAGGTGAACAACCTCTTGTGAAAATGAAACCATTGGATTATCGAAAGGTAAACATCCATTTATGTGCCGTCATAAAGAACTCAAACAATTGCCGTGAATTTGTTTGCACTACTAATGGAATCCATAAGCATGTGCTGCTTCCATCAGAATGTTTTCCAGAAGTCGATTGTTTGCTCAGTTAATTTTGGGTGGATGCTGGAGGAACAGCTTTTGATGTAAAAGGTAAACTTGAACTATCAAGACAAAAGAAGACATGCGCTTTGATCATAACACGATGCCCTCTTTACCCTCTTTCGATTGCACTGAGCGGGGCGTCCTCCCTGCAGACTTGGAGTCGTTTGAGCCAGTTATTGTTCGTTCGTTTTTTTTTTTTGTACCACATGGGTTTACTCAGTTCATAAGAATACAGCTTAATGTTAGAGCCAGCTTTGTCTATGATCAGTGACCTCATTATTTATTGTTTAATGTATGTCTTCATATCCTCTCAAACTGCTTGAAGTGCAGCAACTGAAGCCTGATGTTCATGTTCAACTTGATGTATTTTTTTTGTAATATATTACATGTAAAAAGAGTTAAATTTAATGATCAGTTTACTGATAATGCTGTAAATAGATCCTTCTTTATGTGCCATTGAGAGACAAAGGCGTATTGTTTCAATAGTGGTACTCCATTATAGTGACTGACATTTTGGCTGAAAAGTTGCATTTACTATGAAACCATCACATTTTTAAATCTACTTTTCATAGCAGTTCAATATATGTGAATTTAAAAGCAACTGCAAGGTATATTCATACTTTTTTCCCCCATCAGTGAAAATGCTTTTTTTCTAAGCAAAGCAAAATTTGTACAGTATGCCATCAACTGTTTTTTTTTCCAAACACATTGTCTGTTTATAAATCAAATTATTTGTATAGTTTGCTATAAGTTTTATTTAAAGGGGTCATATGATGCTATTTTAAACATCATTATTTTGTGTATTTGGTGTAACAGAATATGTTGACGTTTTAATGTTCAAAAAAACATTATTTTTCAAATACTGTACATTATTGTAGGTCCTCTATGCCCCGCCTCTCTCAAACACGTCGTTTTCAACAAAGCCCCCTCCTTTGACAAGTGCAGTCTGCTCTGATTGGCCAGCTGACCCAGTGCATTGTGATTGGCCGAACACCACAAGCACGCGTCGGAAATGTAACGCCCCTTACCATAATCGCGAGCTTCAGCTTTCAAAGTAAATATCAAGACAGTTAATAATGTTGTTAGTTTTACCATCAGTTCAAGCCCGAAAAGCCAACAGAGTCACGTGACAGACACAGTGATGATGCTTTGGATTTGAGACTTTAGTCTTTGCAACTTTACAGATCTTCTTTATGCACCAAGAGCTTGTAACACTCCAAAGAAAGGAAAACTTGAAATCGCATCATATGGCCCCTTTAAAGAAACCCCAAAGGCCTCAAAGAAATTTTTGTGTGTACAGTATGTTGAAATGTGAATATTCATTTAATGTGGCAATGTTGACGATAAACTCCTTCTCAAAAATGCATTTTTTATTCATCTTCATTTCTGTTTAAATGTCTTCCACTCACATCCCCAGAACAAACATACACCAGTGTTGTTATTTAGTGGCAAGTGTATTAATTTATCAAAACACATTTGGTCATACAAGAGAAACAGACAATATCAACTTGTTCAGATCCCAGTAAATGTGCCTCCATTACTGGCTCATACTAAAAAATGTGAACATTTGACAACATATTTAATGTGGATAGTATTTTAAAGTATTCTTTTAGTGTGCCCATATCAACATTAGTTCTGACACTGAATAATGTTTGGATATTGCACTTTTAGACATGTGCATGAGAACACAAAGGCATTGAGCTTGAAACTACAGCAACACATGCACATTTGGCGAGATTAAACAGGTACAAAAGTGAAGCCACATGAGATCACAGGTTTAGAGCTTCGGCCACCTTTCTCTCAGGAATACCATTTACCTACAATGAGAGGAACACTTTAGAAACGTGAAATAGCTCATCTTGTTCTTTTTTAAAACACATTATCGCACATGCAAAGAATAATACTTGCCTCTAGCCTCCGAAAAGTCATCATACAATAATTATCTCCTTTGTTAGCATGAATGAATGAACAGCATGTTAGACAAGAAGAGATTTCTCAGCTGTCTGATGGCAGTTCATTATGTGTACACTGGGGTTCACCAGAGAGCAATGAAAGAGGCTAAAGCACCAAGACTGCAATTAACATCTCTGTAAGGATAATGACCACTGCCCTCAGTTTTTAATGGATAATTTAGGGAAATGTTCAAATCTATTTGCTGTTCGTATCAATGGGATGAAAAGCGTAGACATCAGTTTTCAATGCTTCACTTACCAGAGGACTGCTGCTGTGGTATTTGGATCTGATTTTGAAGATTTCTGTAAATAAAGACAAAGGCAAAGATTTGGCCAAGATGCTCATCACTAGCACGCTTTTAGGTTTAGGAAATGAGAAGTGATTCCATTAAGAAAAAAATAGCATAATGAGGGTCGGCTGCATTAAGAGGTCTTGCATAAACTAAAACAACAACAGAGTTTTATGCACTTATTCTGCAACAGTGCAAAAGAGACATTGTGATCAGTGTCTGACTCCTGAACTAATGGCTCTAATGAGTCGATTCTTATCACTGAAGAGAAAAAAATACTCAATACTAGTCAACTCAACCAGTGCAGTTTATTTTTCCAAATGAAGGAATGAGTATCTGTGAATGAGTCTGTTCTTTTTAAGCAATCGAACATAACCTTACATGCATCCTAAAGAGACAGTTCACCCAAACGTAAAAAAAAAATGTCATCATTTTCTCACCCTCAAGTTGTTCCAAACCTGTACGAGTTTCTTTCTTCGGTTGAACACAAAAGAAGATATTTTGAAGACTGTGGGTAACCAAACAGTTACTGGTAGCCATTTACTTTCATAGAAAATACTTAATTCATACAGGTTTGGAACAACATGAGGGTGAGTAAATGATGACAAAATGTTCATTTTTGGGTGAACTATCACTTTAAATTAATGTAGTTACTGACAAAAATTGATGTACATAGCTATTGTATAAAGATACAAATTAATGTCTGTTGTCAGTAGAATTTTACTTTTTTAATGTTTTCACATTTTTGTTTAATTCTGTTGTTTAATATAAAATTAAAGCCAATTATTGGATTGCATTTGTGCAAACATCTTTTGCAAGAACTGTTTTAAAATTATTAATAGAATTAAATAATAGAATAATTAAAATGATCTATTACGCACTTGGCAATGGAACTGAATTTCTTTTTCAAAACATGCATTCTTTAAAAGTACTAAAAAAATAATTTATGCATCGATAAGTAACAAAGATGGTTAAATTCTTTATGATTTCAATTCCAACTCCTCTACCTTTTTCTTCTTATCACATAATTTTAGGTCAGTCGTCCTGATGATAATACACATATTGTGATGTTTGATCTGCTTTAATCTCTCCAAGTCATCAGTGATTTAATACCAGGGCACTGGGAGATTCAAGCTTGTTTTTAAAGAACACTGGATTATAGTAACCTACTTTCTCAACTCTTCTTAAACCAGATCCACCATTTTCAAACAAATTACACCTTACTTTTTCACCCAGAAACTCTTGATTAAAGCAGAAGTAACAGACTCACGTCTGCGTCTGCATGAGCAGCATGCTGGTGGTCTCGTAACTGTCAGGATGGATGGGCGGCACCACCTCTCCGCTCACAGGATGGAAGACGGGCAGTGTCGAGAGAGGCCACGAAATCTCCCGGTTCTTAGACATGCTGCGAAGCTCCTTAGTAGACTTCTGAATGGAGCTGTGGTGAACCAGCTGAATACTGGGAATGGAAGGAGCAGCTAAATGACTATTTAAAGCAAATACATGCACAAAAAGTATAATATAGAATATCTGAAGTTCTAGGCATAACATTGGGTTATTTGTCTATTTTGCAGGGCTATTTGATGAATATTTGTCTTTTGACACACTACTTCATACAATTATAATAATCATATATCTCTGTCACTGAAGCAGCTGCCCATTGATGACACCATGGAGACACAGAGGCGATTGTATGCATGAGATGGAAATGAACATGTCACCATGATGAAGGATTTAAGATAACAAGACATAGGGAAGAAAAAAACAAGGGGAACCTATCCAAAGAAAGGAAAAAAGATCCGAAAAGGAGAAAGAAAAAGCCAAGACCACAGGAGAGGGAACACTTACTCTGGTGTTTGCATGTTTCTTTTTTGCCTAGAAACAAAACAAAATGACTGAATTAAATTCTAATATTAATAGTTAAAGACAACCACACAAAAGTCAATGGAGAGCGAGTCAGGAGGGGAATGGAGGGCTGTGAATGGATCAAATGAAGTCTGGTGATCTCCTTCAGGCTGTGGCGGTAGCTCTGATGGTGGGTGACATCATCAGGAAACAAACTGGGATTGGCTGATAATGAAGAGGAAACATCTGCCGGAATGGCTCTAAATACAACAGATGGAACCTTTGGACTGAGTGTGTTTCAGTTAATGATTAAATGGTGAAAAAAAAAACTTGATGCTTGAAGATGGTAAGCTGCTTTTTGGCAGGGATGTGACCCCGTCTTTCAGACTTCGACATATTCTAGAAAAGCCCTCAAGATCTTCACTTAACTGCTTAAAAGATGCTGTACTGGCACTGCATGGTTTATTATGATCAAAAAGTCATCTATCATTTAAATGTCAATCATTAAGCAATGCCCATTAATTACAAGTATTAAAGGGGTCATATGATGCTGCTAAAAATAACATTATTTAGTGTATTTGGTGTAATGAAATGTGTTTATGCGGTTTAAGGTTAAAAAAACACATTATTTTCCACATACTGTACATTATTGTTTCTCCTCTATGCCCCACCTTTCTGAAACACGTCGATTTTTACAAAGCTCATCGGTCTGAAAAAGCGAGGTGTGCTCTGACTGGCCAGCTATCCAGTGCGTTGTGATTGGCCAAATACCTCAAGCGTGTGACG